ACTAAGAGTAGCTGTAGATAATATTACATCTGTGGGATGATTATTGGTAATTATTATTGGTAAATATGTACATAAATACTGCAAAGGGCCTGTAAGGCTTTTCAAATGAAATTGTGTCCACCCGTCAATATGAAGAACCCCCTGTTTAAAGGTGCAGACATGAAATTTGCAAGCATTTGTACTCACATGAATATCCTTACAAGTTCAATAAAGAACTTAGTGTTTAATGTTCAGATATCAATATGCTGCAGAGGAATGTTCTAGGTCCTTCCACTTTAATAGCATGTCCACTGAGATGCTGTCACTTGAGCATACATACATGAGTGAAGACAAATACTGCAGTACAGTAACCAAATACTTTGGAATAGTGTTACAAATTAACTACATTACACGTTACCAACATGATCATTATACATCACTTCAAGATCGTGTTTCAGCAGAGCACTTCACATTCAGATTTACATGCTAAACAATTATTTGAGCTCTTTAAGTGTCTATTTGGTAAAAACTATTTCTCCTGAGGAACCTTGGAGGAAAAAAGGTTGACAACAAGTTTGTGCAGATCAGGGCCTCAGTCAAGATAGGATTTCTTTACCTCATGACAATGAATAATTCAGCCTGGGATACTTACCTGGACAGAGCCACACAAGAAAAGGAGTAAGAAAAGGATGTGTCTGAAGTAACAGTGGACTCAAAAAAGAAAAGCTGAGGAGAGTGAAGAAAGAGGTCGGTAGACTATGGAGGAGGCGGAGAAGAAACGGCCGATTATCTCTGCTAGAGAAAGAGGTCAGTTTGAGAAATGTGTATGCCTGCATGTGTGGTTATGTATGTGTGTGTGTGTGTTTGCATCCACATGGACTGTATTATAGCTGAACTGTTTTTGCTATGAAATCTTGCACAGCATTATACAGTCGTTGCTCCACACTTGTTTGAGATTTCTACTTTGTTTAGAATCCATTCCCCAAAAAGCAGAGGAAGTAGGTTAAAATGCATAACCATAGAAAATAAGTCAAAGAGCTCCATATGGAAATCATCAGAGACGATGCAGCCGGAGCCAAAGAGCGGTGGGTGTGCTATACTGCTGCTTGGAGTGCAATCTGTTGCATCATTTTCACCACCATCCTCCTCCTCCTCCACCTACTCACTGTCAGGCCCAGGCCCTGGACGCTACAGCCTGCCCCCTACAGTTGGATACGTCAACCATGATTTCACCAAGCCCAGAAGTGCAGCATATACCTTCCACAGTCGTATGAGCAGTGCGAGTAAGTTGTCAGTTATTTTTGTATGTTCTGGTAAACTTGCCCTCAGTGGACCAATCGTTGACTAAGGAGTGCTACAAAGAAGTACTTAATGCTAAGCTGGAGCAGTTAAAGTAAAGGAATAGCACTTTGATGGTTTTTGGCCTTGTTTGCAGTGGTCTCTGTGGACTCCAGCCCAGGACCGAGGTACCACGTTGGATCAAAGGTCACGCGTTTTGGCAGCATGGAAACGCCATCTTACTCTATTTTGGGCAGAGGAGGGCGTACAGGAAGTAAAGGTAAAAAAGAAGGAAAAACAATTCAACCTGTGTAATTGATGTCAGATATTTGGACAAGCATTAGTCATCCATCCATTTATCAGTCCATCCACCCATTCATCCATCTTCCCCCTAAAATAAAGGACTAATTTCAAACTAGTTTCCTTTTATGTTAGGTGACCTATTCCAGACTCCCGGGCCCGGAGCCTACAGTCCAGAGAAGGCTCCGCCCCTCAATGGCCACCGCAGACCTCCATCACACATCATTGGAGCTCGAACCAGATACCGCTCTGTGGATGCTGTACCCTCACCTAACAGGTAAAAGCGAGGAGGAGAGGTAGATTAGAGGTCAATGAAAGTGGTGTGACATCACCCGTTGGTTTGTGGATCCCTTTCCTGAATCCTTCTAGTAACCATAAACAGTTCAAGTTAGCGTTTAGTGTTAATCTAGGATTTAATTCATCTAAAATTGTGCACAGATTTGACTTGAGCATTCTTGAGTATTAAAACCTGCAGCTACTGTTACTAGGCTCTAACTATATTTATTTCTGCTCTAAAGTTCGACAGTACAAGACGGAAGATTGCCTCTAATACGGAATAAGGGTTAAGTGGCTATTTGAGGAACCTCAACTTTATAAGCACTTCTGCTTCCCAGCCTCAGAGGTTCCCATTCCCAGCCTCAGAGGTTGTTGCTTAATAGCGTCTGATTGAGCTCCGTTGTTTCCCAAACTTAGAGGGGATAGCCTGCTATATCCACCCCAGCCATTTCCTACTAAGTCCGCATCTTTGATAAATATGGTTTCCTTTGTTTTTTAGGAAAGAAGAATGGGCTTGGGAGTAGGTGCCCAAGACAGCATGAGGAATTTAGAAATCAAACAGAGAATAACACCAGATTTACCATCTTACATCACACTCAGTGCTCCTGTTAACCTTTATATTGTTTCCGTCAATCTTCCAGTTACAGTCTTCCTAATCTTCTGGGACATCATATTCCTCACAAACCCTCCAGTGCCAGCTACAGTTTCTCAGCCCGGAGGAAGGTCGGCGCTCCCTCTGAAGATCTCGCCACAACTCCCGGACCAGGAAAATACAACAGCACCAACCCGGACATTTACCGTCATCGCCATCCGTCCTTCACCATGCAGGGGAGGACTAAAAGGCCCAATTATTCCTCTGCTATTCCTGGCCCTGGCGCCTACAACCCAGAGAGATTTCATTTGCACCTTCCAAAATCACCATCCTTCACTCTGGGCATCAGACACTCTGAGTTTGTCACCCCACTTGTGGTAAATGTAACTGACTGACAATGAGGATTTGCTTCAGACACCTTATTTTTATTCTTTTTGACTTGACAAACCAACACTGTTACAAAATAACAATAATACAAAAAATACTGACTTAAACTGGAAATGTAAACTGTGCGCATGATATCCATTTACAATACTCTTTAATAAATAAAACAAAATATAAATAGTTTGTGTTTGCATTTTTCGTGCAGGTAAAATACCAGAAAATGAAATTGTTTACTTCAGTGCAAGCTTAACAGGAAATGGGTAAACAAAAAAAGGAAGTCAGTGGAACTTCCTACAGTCTTTTTCTTGGTATTGTGATCTTCACGGGCACACTCCAGTCACTGCATTTGCCCAGACCAAGCAGCTCCCTAGCACACACTTGGAACAGGTATGGCCTCCCTGGGGTCAGGGCCTTCAGTTCAACCATGGTGTTCTCATAAGGACCCAGCTGGAGGAGAAAATATACATATGTAAAAACACACATAGTTAACACCAGGAGGCTACAAGTCAGCCCAGTGGGAAAAGATACTGGTTACTTTAAGTCACATATTAAAATAGAAGTAAAGGACTTATAAATAGTTGATGAATCATAAACCGTTTCATGAAAGTGGATGGAAGAGTTTAGTAATAATGCAAATGTGTTTCCAATCATTAGTCATACTTTCAAATCAGTTACAGTGTGTGCGGATGCACTTTTTTAAAAAAAAATTCAGTAAATCATGACCAACATCTTAAAAACAGTTTATGAGAAAATATTTTCACACAATTTTGAACACTTGAAGTCAAGTTAATGAGTGTTGTAATATTTAAAAGGAAACAGAAAAGCTACTGATGATTAAATGATTCAATTAAAAACTGGATCCTGTAGACGATGGAAACTTTTTTAGAAAAACAACAAGTACAAAAAAAAGCAATTCGAGGTTGCTTCAAAAGGTTTGGGTAATTTTGAACTTGCACATGTGATATCCGTGTAAGCGTTAAGTGTGATGTGCTGCTTACAAAACTTGTGGTTGTAACACTTATGCAAATATGGTGTGATGAAAATCATACTTACATTAACAGACCTTCGGATCCCCTTGTTTTCCCACTGGTAGATAATCTGGTATTTTAGGGGGAATATTGCCAAGTTGGTCCAAGTAGGTGGAGGAGACCACTCAACCAACAACTTTCTGTTGTTAGTAGGGGAAACCCGGACATCAACGGGAGGATCTGGTTTCACTGAACACACAGAACAGATTTTTTTTTAATTGTTTTTTTTGTTTGTTTGTTTAGATAAAAACAGGAATTGGGTTATGAAGCTAAGTGAAGTTTGACCACATTCTGTGTAATTTCATTTCTCACCTATATCCTCCAGCATGAAGCTTGTTAGATGGGAGCTGCTTCTCCCAGAATGAACTGCTGTGATGTTGATTATGTAGTCAGTAAGAAGCTTCAGGTTGGGCAGCTGGCAGATCCAGAACTGAAAAAAAAGAAAAAGAGAGAGAAGATGAAAGAAAACTTTGGGGAATTCACAAAATGACGAGCACTTGAGATGATCAGAATTAGTAATCAACCACAGATCACAAATTACTGAGACCCTCGTTTCCTCAGACTCACAAGATAAACTTGAAATGATTCAAAAAAAGAAAAGAAAAGAAAAGAAAAGAGAAAAGAAAAGAAAAGAAAAGAAAAGAAAAGAAAAGAAAAGAAAAGAAAAGAAAAGAAAAGAAAAGAAAAGAAAAGAAAAGAAAAAAGAAAAGAAAAGAAAAGAAAAGAAAAGAAAAGAAAAGAAAAGAAATGGGATTTTCCAAAACTCAGCCTGTCCTGTCAGGTTTGTGGATCATTCCAGTTCATTACAGTAGAAACAGTACAGTGGATCATTCCAGTACAGTATGTATGTGTGTGTGTGTATACATACATATATATATATATAGTACAACTTATCTAAATGAGTTGAATTTTGTTGCATGAATTCTGGAAACCACCTCTTCTCCTTTCTCTTGGCTGTTTGCAAACCTAAGGGTTAACGTCACCCCATGACTGAAAATTCCCTCCATACTATGCATGATGCATGATTTCAGTCTCAGGATCCAGGGATTTTTGCTCATAACAGACAAGAATATATCCAAAAATTCCTAGATGCACAGCCAATATCAGATGATCTCTTAAGGTTATAAACTGGTACCTGTTCAGAGGATGAAGAGCCGGGTGGAAGGAGATGGCATTCCTTGGTGCTTGCCTGATTATATCTCTCACTGGTAAACACAAACATTTACACATAAACACATTTAAGAAAAAAAAGGCTATTTAATGACACTTGTTAAGTAGAGTGTCTCCTACTAAAAAGGGGTCAGTGGTTTGGGTCAGCACCCACTAAAACTATTCACAGACTTACCTGTATGTGGCAATGTAATGTGTGCTAGGGAAGTGGGGTGGTTTAGGCCAGGTGCACAGCGTCGCATTTGGATAGCTCGAACACCAGCAGTGCACCTTGGGAGCGGAGAGGGGATCTGGCAGGCAAAAACTGGATTTAGTCACTGAGTGCAAAACATAAACACTGACAGAAATACAGAATAAAGAAAAATACAAAATTTAATATCTGTATCGGTATCATTTTGAGAATAATATTATAACATAACATGAAAGAAAGAAAGAATAAGTGGAAACATGTAGTCAAGCACAGACTAGCACTCACTCTGTGATGTTCCAGCTCCTCTCAGCAGGTCCAGTGCTTGACTTTCAACAATGCTAATTAGTAGAATCACAGTGACATAGCCACCACCAAATACTGCAGCCCTCATTGCTTCAGAGGAGAGATTATTCGCCAAGAGCAGTTTTTCAAAGTAGTTTTAGAAATGTTACAGTCAACTCCCAACCCCGGGCCCAAGTTAAATACTACTCTCTTCTGTTATTCCCTTGTCCTTTGCCCTTTTCCTTGCAGATCTACACCTGTCTTTGTGTCAAAGTACAGCAATAACAAGTTGCTTCACAGTCTCGCCTCCCCTGTGTATTTGAGCGCCTCGCAGCTGATTGCGGTATAAAAGCCAAAGGGGTCATTGCGAAAGAGGAAGAGAAGTCACAGCACAGGAAATTCCTTATAAGAACTGAACAGTTATGAATTACTGCATGCTGATTAAGGTTTCCTTACGTCATGAAAGAGAATTTTTTTTTGAAGTGGTTACTTCTTTAATGGTGCATTTATGGCACAAACGAAAATACTGGTCTCCAGGAGACTCACGCAGCACGTACATTTACAAATATGCAAAGAAACCTATCAGTAAAGACAAAATCAGCAAAGCCAAGAAAGTCCCTACTTCATATCAACTGTCAGTGCTCTCTGGTACTCTCCTCAGCTCATGGTGTCTTGACTGCCATCTAGTGCACAAATTAGGAATCAGCAGGTACAGGTTTAAATCATTCTGTATATACAGTCTTTGGTTATCACTCAGGCAATAAAGTCATACTTCAGCAGAGGTATAACCCCCCTCTAGTGTCCAGTTTTGTGTCATCTGCGCATTCACAGTCCAAGCTCTCAGACATTTTCTCGATTGACTCTGTGAGGCCACGATAGCTTCTTGGGGCTCCATGCAGAGAGGGAGGCACTGTGGACGTTCCAACCCACTGTGTGAGTCCCGTCTTTGTGTATGTTAAGACTGTGAAGCTCCCCGCTGGAGGTCCGCAGCGAGGTGAAGGCCTTGCTGATCCAGCTGTTCTTTGCTTCCTGCAGATCACTGGTCAGGATTCCCTTCTGGTGCTCCAGCTCCTGCATGAGGATACACAGATGTATGACTGCAAATACTGCATTGTGCAATTAATTTTTCTATGTTTTTACTAAATATGCACTTATGTTTAATAACATAATATTTAAATAACAATGCCAATTCATATGATTATTGGCAAATTAACACTAAAGTTTTTAATCTATTATGGGTCACAGTTATACCTGAATTTACCTGTAATGATTAGTTTTAAATAATTCACTAACTGGACACTATTATGAATTACTTCAACCCTGTAAATCCTGAACCATGAAACAATTGTCAGAAAATTCAGTTTTTTTGGAACTGCAGTGTTTTCCAAACCTTCTGACCAAAGTTTGTACATGCGAGTTTGAATTTGCATCATATTTGCAATATTAAGCTTTTTTTTTTTGCACAATTTAGTTACATTTTTCAGGAAAAAAATGATTTAGAAGTCTCAAAAGCTCACAAAAACACACGTATTAAATATGATATTAATTAATAATTATGATAATGTATTGTGGAAGTAATGCAATTTATTTATATGCCTATTTTAAGCATGCTAGATATGTAATTAGAGTACTTTAATACTTAAAAGTAATAAAGTAATAAGTAATGAATCTTGAAGCATTCTTCAGGATTATCCCATTATGCTATTTCTGTGTTATTTATCAAGCAAATGACTTCAAAAATGATCCGGGGTAATTCCTGTTAGCTTTTGAAGTCTCTGTTTTCTGCTACTTCTTCCTGAAAATGTTCCTTTGTAACTTTCACTTTCCAGTGTTGTCAAACCTGTTTTACTGGAACAGCGACAATATCTCAGAACCTGGTCCTGTTGTCTGTCTTCAGGGGCTTATGCTTAGTAAAAAATGCTTCATATCAGCTTTATTAGAGGTCAGGTGTCAACATATTCCCTATAAAAAGCCAGATTTAATGCAGCACTAGACTAGCAGAGCTCACAGTCATGCTAATGACCACTTTAAAATAAAATAATCTTTTTTTTTTTTTAATTGAATGCCACTGATCTCTCTCCACCCTATGCTCAAAAAACCAGTTGAGGTCGTTTGAGCAGCTAATCAGGATGCCTTCTGGGCATTTTCCCATCAGGTTTTCCGGCCACGTCTATCCATCTATCCAGGGAGACACCCCAGAACATAGTGGAAGGATTATAAATCTCATCATATTTGTAACTGGCTCAGTATCCCCAAGCAGGAAATGGGACTGGGGAAAGAAAAACCCTATTTAGCCTGCTAGCACCTCACCCCAATTCTGGATAAGCGGAAGAAAATTAATGGATGGACAGCTGGATGGGTGGCAACCAATATTTATCCAGATCTTCCTTGATTTTTCTTAACTGTGACCAAGAAGCAAACTGAGAGAGATATTTTATAGTGTAAAACTACTACTAACCCGTGTTATGACAAAAACATTTCTTTGCTGCATTTTGTTGCCATTTATTGGCTGACATATATACAGATATCCTCTTATCTGCAAAACACTGACAATTTGTGTATGTTTTGGTTACATGCTTGTAGATATTTGTGAAGGTCAGAGATTTAATCAAGATATGTATCTATGAATGGTCCAGTCCGGTCTGATTCACTGGTCTTACCTGGATTTTGCACGTGGCTTCCACCATCTGGAGTTTGGTCTGGACCAGCTCCTTTTCCAAACCCCCAATCTGAGCCCTGAGGAGCTCCTTTTCCTGCTCCCTCCTCCCCTGCTCCTCCAGCGTGGGATCTTCATCCTTCTCCTCCACGCCCTGTTCAGTCACTTTCTGATCTTCCGTCTGCGCAGCCGTTTCTGAGTCCCGACCTATATCGGACGTTTCATCTGAATTCATGATGTGTCGACAGTGGGAGCACGCTTTTATTGCACTCTGTAATGTGAAAAAAAAAAAGTGCAGCAAAAATTAAATGATACAGATTTTTTCCTCTCAAACGTGACATATGTAATAGATAATCTGAGTAACTGATGAGTTAATAGAAAGGTTGAAAGCATTTTATACAACAACAGGATTTGAGATGAAGCAAGGAGGTAAGAGGTGAGATAAAAGAAGAAGAGATGACAGCAAAGCTCCAAAGGAAGAGCGCTACCCTCACCTTAAGTGAATCCATCTCCTCTCTGTGGGCGGCTTGCTGGCTTTCAAGGCGGTTTGTCAGCTGAGAACAGATCTGAGCCAAAGATCACGACTTTAACATAATTAAGCAAAACATCAGCAGAAGAAATGTAGTGATTTTAGAAACTCTCTGTACCTGTTTGTAGTCTGCAATGATACCAGACGACCTTTTGAGTTTCTGCTCGGCCTTTTCTATTTCTCTCCGAAACACTTCCTTCAGCTATAATGAAAGATAACATTCCTTCGCTCAGTTATGCCTGCAGTTAAATATCAAAATCTCTAATTGTGAGGAAGCATGAATAACTTAAATCTCACCATGGCAACTTCCTCCTCTTTCCCTCTTTTCTCCTCTTCTGTGATCTGCAGTTGCTGTCTAGTTTCCATAAGGTCTTTGGTTAGTTCGTCCACTTTGTCCTCCGCCTGCAAAGAGAAAATCGCGGCAGTCAGCTCAGGATATTACGCTTTCATCGTGAATGAAACTTTTATATCGATGTTGCATATAACTGCAGGGCCATGCACAATACCAGAAGTTAATAATAATACAATAAGACAAAATCACTGTGCTATTCTAATGAAATGTAAAATGAATGCCAAATATATTATTCTATTACGGTTACACTTTATTCATTTCCTGTGGGGTTTCGCTACCCTTTTGAAAAGGGCAGTAATTAATTGTACCTTGTCTAGAGTGTTCCTCAGGGCCACCTTGCTGGAGATCAATTTGTGGGCCAGATTGTCATTTTCCTGCTCCAGACGAAGGCTGGCCTGCTGAAGCTGACGGTTTTCCTTCTGCAAACCACAGAAACAATCTATCAAAGTCTCAGCATTTTAAAAAAAAAGACATTTTAGATAAAGAATAAGAAAATAACTTGAACCTGATCCTAGCACTTATCACAGCAAAAGAAGAATGTTAGGATTGACTTTAGAGACAAAGATCCCCCACCACATATTTGTCCAAAGTGTCTTCCTCGTCATCCATTATTTGAAGCCGGCACTCCTTCAGTTTAGCTTTCTTTGTTGGTACCTAATGGTAGAGAGTCAAAATGCACTAAATATAACAACGCAGAAAAACTGTCATATTTGACTGAGCTGAAGAAAGCTATCTCCTCCACACAGATATTGTCCCGGATGAGGGATGAGCATGACAAATCAAGAACGAGCCCAAGAAAGAGATCCAGAAGGAGATAGCACCAAGATAAGATAAAATAAGCACATGGGGAAATGATCAAATTGGTATGCCTGAGGGAGTAATAGTAGAAGGAAGTCTGAAATGGCAATTTCCATATCTCAGATATCTAAAACGAACAACCAGAAATCATTCCCTTTTTTTTCCTGAAATTAAAATCCATCCATAAAACATCCAAAGGAATGTTTTATGTGTTGTGATTGTACTTGCAGCTACCGTTTAGCCAGTTGCTCGTGTAATAGATGTAGAAATATTGTAAAGATCAAACCCAAACAGGCTCGTTGAGGCAAGCTAAGAGCAGCACTACACCCATTTAATGCTTTGCTCCTAATCAACATTCAAATAAGGACAATCTGCAACTTGAAATGAGTGTGTGAGTGTTACGATCTACTGACATAATCATTTATATTAATAGGTTGTTAATATGCATTAACAAGTAAGAAGAAATTTGTTGCTGTAGAGGATAAAAGTAGTGCCTTGTTGGATAAATCAGTCAAATGTGTAATATTTCTTCTAAAATGTAGACATCTAAAAATGGAAATACACACAGGCAGTACAAATCTGCTTAAGGACAGTACTTGAGTTAATGCAGACTCATGTTCTACTACTTCACTGCGGAATTATGAAGAAAAATAGCTCAGCTGTTGTCACTAAGTGCACAAACTGAAAGGAAAAGAAACTTACTGTGAATTTAGGTCCCGTTTCAGACTCTAGACAGGCAAAAATCTCCTCCTCGCTCATCTGCTCGATTGCATGGGCATCGTAAGCATTGACCATGGACACCTCTTCCATCATCTTGTCCAAATATGCAGCTACAAGAGCTGCCTCCGCTCAATCAGATGTAAACAGTCAGAGCTTTTGCACGTTGAGGCTCCAATTTTAAACAGACCCACGAGAAGTAATGGGGATCCCGTCAGGCCCGAAGGACAATCTGTCTCTTAAGTGAATTAAAGAAGCGGGTTCATAGCGATGCAGTCACCTTCTTTTTCCTTGCAGTGATGATGGTTGCAAGTCCAGTATTTGAGCATAAACAGGAAATATCAGGTTAAAGTCCAAGTCAATCGAGGATAAGGAAAGTCTGTTTATAGTCCAAAGGTGAGCAACAGAATAATACGCTAAAGGTGAAATGTATCTCTGCTTAAATCCTTGTTAGAAGTCAGTCAGAACTGCCTACTGTTTCAGGAAAAACAGTGTTATAGGTATTCGGGTGGTAACAGGTTCAACAGGGTTTACAACCAACCTGAGAGGGAGTGTGACAACAAGACAACCTTACACACACCCACAGCAGAGCTCAGCTTTCTTAGCAACTCACGTGTCCATGCTCTCTCTCACACGCACGTATACATATATAGAAGAACAAAAAAAGAAACACGTGTTGTTGGAGCTGAACTTTTCAAACAAGCTAGTTCACTCTAATTTATCTGGTTAAAATAAGCTCATGCTATGAATTGTTTTTCTCTCACACTTTATGCTTTCAAACCTCTTTAAAAATTCACTCCAGTCATCTTTTCTTCTACTTTTTTCTCCCCCTTTACACTTTTCTTTGCCAGGTAGAGGTGCTGTGTGAAGCTGCCAGACCCTGCTTATGTATTTAAAGAGTAAATGATGTCGTATTTGCGATCTGTCATCCGCAGGTGTTGGCATCACAGAGACCTGTCGCTCTATTATTGTCATGGGCGAAGCAGCCTGACAGGGTATGAAACGGGTCGAGCAGGTAAAGCACTCAAATACCAAAGCACGAGTGTGGAGTAACAAAGATGATTCTGTGTTCGACGCCCTCCTTTTCCCCCACGGTCTCGGTGTCACTTTCATGTAATGATGCATGGTTTCTCTCAATTCCTGGCTTGCATTATAAACCTCTCAGTTTTTATCTTCTCTTTCTTGATGACAGACCGGTTTCTTTTTTAAGGTTTCACTTCCCTTTCTTTAAACTTCAGTGTTTCACTACCTTTCTTTATCTGAATTTTGTAATTTTTATTTGTTTCCCCTTTGTGGCTTTAAAGAAAAAAACAAAAACAATTCCCGCTCTAATGTACGTCTGTGGTTTTCTGTTTTTTTTCTCTTCTGTGACCAGAAACTGATTTCAACATCTTGTATTTACTGTCTGAGTCACCGTGTGGAAAAGACAGACCAAAAAAACATGTAAATATACGCCAATATCTACTGCATATGTTTAGTTACGTTTTTTTGTTTCCCCCTCTGTGGCTTTTTTTCAATCAGCATTTCCTGCTCTAATGTACACTACCAGTAAGTTTGGACTTTCTGTTTTTTCTTCATTTTCATGACTATTTACCTTGTAGATTCTCACTGAAGACATCAAAACTATGAATGAACACATATGAAATTATGCAGTACACAAAACTACTACTTTGAGTGTGAAATAACTCAAAACATTTTGTATATTTTAGATTCTTCAAAGTAGCCACCCTTTGCTTTGATTACTGCTTTGCACACTCTTGGCATTCTCTCGATGAGCTTCATGGGGTAGTCACCTGAAATGGTTTTCCAACAGTCTTGAAGGAGTTCCCAGAGATGCTGAGCACTTGTTGGCCCTTTTGCTGTCTCATCTCAAACCACCTTGATTGGGTTTAGGTCAGGTGATTGTGGAGGCCAGGCAATCTGGCGCAGCACTCCATCACTCTCCTTCTTGGTCAAATAGCCCTTACACAGCCCGTAGGTGTGTTTGGGGTCACTGTCCTGTTGAAAAATAAAAGATGGTCCAACTAAACACAAACCGGATGGGATGGCAGGATTTTGCGGTAGTCATGCTGGTTCAGTGTGCCATCAGTTTTCAATAAATGCCCAACAGTGTCACCAGCAAAGCTCCCCCACACCATCACACCTCCTCACGGTGGGAACCATGCATGTAGAGACCATTCGTTCACCTTTTCTGCATCGCAAAAAGACACAGTAGGTGGAACCAAAGAGCTCAAATTTGGACTCATCAGAACAAAGCTTGGATTTCCGCTGGTGTAATGTCCATTCCTTATGTTTCTTTGCCCAAACAAATTTCTTCTGGTTGTTCCTTTTCCTTTGTCGTGTTTTCTTAGCAGCTATTTGAACATAAAGGCTTGATTTGCACAGTCAGAGCCAGTTTCATCCTAGTGCTTAATGGATTTTGCGACTTTCAAAGTTCCAGACTCCTTCAGTTCTTAAAGTAATGGTGGATTATCGTTTCTCTTTACATAGCTGATTGGTTCTTGACTTAATATGAATTCTAACAGTTGTCAAATAAGCCTGTCAGCTGTGTACCAACCTGATTCCTGCACAACATGGTCCCAACCCCATTTAAAGGCAAAAAATGTCACAAACAAACCCTGACAGGGCACACCTGTGAAGTGAAAACCATTGCAGCTGACTACATCATGAAGCTCATTGAGAGAAGGCCAAGAGTGTGCAAAGCAGTAATCAAGGCAAAGGGTGGCTACTTTGAAGAATCTAAAATGTAAAACATATTTTGAGTTATTTCACTTTTTTTGTTTACTACATAATTTCATATGTGTTCATTCATAGTTTTGATGCCTTCAGTCAGAATCTACAATATAAATAGTCATGAAAATAAAGAAAAAACATAAAATGAGAAGCTGTGTCCAGACTCTTGACGTGTACGTCTGTGGTTTTCTTTTCTGTTTTTTTTCTTCTTCTATGAAAAGAAACCGATTTCATAATCCTGTGTATCTACTGTCTGAGTCACTGTGTGAAAAAGACAGACCATAAGAATATGCAGATATCTACATATTTATTCGTCCTGAAAAAAAAGGAACATTATGTGAAACATTGTGGATTTTCCTCAGGTCATAGCAGAATGTGTTTTTTTTTAAATACAGAAACAGTAACCTGAAAATAAAAGTTAAGTTCTGACACAACAGTTGTGTTCATTATGGTGCAACAAACCTGTGAGCACAAACACTGAGCCACTGTCATCGGACTAAGGGGATATTTGTTGGGTAGGTGGCAGTGAACGCCAGTGTTCAGTGAACATCTAAACTGACAAAGACATTTAAAAATAAAAATAAAGCAGTTTACATACAATACTGTGCAAAAGTCTTAAGTCAGCACTCCATTATCTGGATTTAGCTTCTAAGGAGGCAGACTTGTTGGTATTTTTAAACCAGTTTTGAGCAATAGTCCACTCCCTGCGCCGGATCATTTTCAGAGGAATGTTTTTTTAACACTGACCTATGAATTAAACAAGCATAAAAAAGGCACCTAACCCAAGTAATGAACCAGTGTCATGTCTATACGCACCAGACAAATTAGCAAAGAACCAATTATCAAATTGTATCTTTAGGCACTTTGTTATTAGAAGTCTGCTGCAAAAACATAAAAATTTATTTTCTCATGTATTTTATTGAAACTACAAAAAATGCCAAAGGTAGTTTGACTGGCTTAAAATACTATTTGTGCACAAACAAGGTGATTACCAAAGGGCTACTTCCTGAAAACTGCATATCTCAGCATGATGTGCAGTGTGTCTTTGAGAAATGAGAGGAAAGAGGACAAGAGGAGGACAAAAAGAAGAAGTAGCAGTTCAATAGCAGATGAACAGTCATTTTAAAGGAAGGCAAACAGGCAGAAAAGGGTGAGATATGCTAAATTACACAAGAACTGGGCTGAAAATCAGCAGAAACAGGTCATCAGGAGTTTCTACAGCGATCTGTAAAACACAGCAAGGCTCTGTCATGGTTTCGGGCTGTATTTCAGTGTTGGGGATTTTGTTAAAGTTGATGGAATTATGAACGCTGAAAAGTACCCTATGGTCATCAGTCATGGGTTGGACTACCGAGAGCCCGGACTTACTGCTATTACTATAACGGATCATACCTACAGAGAATGAAATAAAAAACAGCCAACATCCAAAGAAGAGCTTTGAATGTTCTTCAAGAAGCCTGGAGAACTATTCCTGAAGACTTCTCAAAGAAATTACAAGAAAGCTGACTAAGAGCATTCAGGGTGTGTTGAAGAGTAAAAATGGTCATTCCCAAAAATTCACTTTTGGGCTTGCTAGAATTTTACAAACTTTTTTCTTTGCCTTATAAACTGTATTTCTGTGTATGTCGGTGTATGTTTCATGACATCCCTGCACCCATTTCCCATTTTCCTATAAAGAAATGACATGTGGCTCAAGACTTTTCCACAGTACTGCATAAAATTTAGGACGTACGTCTGACCGAGAGACTGTAAGATCAAGAAAATAAGGAAATATAATGAAGCTTACAGCTCAGTGAAAACAACGTGACATTAGAGTGAATAAGATAGTTTAGATCTTAAATAATAGCCTATGTTCAATAATACTCAACATCACTGTTTCACACATTTTCCTGTGTTTTTCACACCTCCAGCACAATTTATGTTTAAACTGAGTTGCCATTTCCACAGTTGTGTTCCTCTGCAGCTGTCAGGAGTGCACAGGAACACAGAAAGAAACCAAAACTGAAGAGAAAAGTACTGAAATACGTCTAAACCCAAACATCCCTCACAAAAAAATGACAATACTCCTTAAAAAATATATAGATTCAGGCATATACTGCAATAACACTGCATCTTATTACTGTACTGTAGCAGATATGATGGCTCATATATAGATATAAAACCTAAGCTTTAAGATCATTAAATATGGTACAGCAGCTCTCTTTTCTGCTTATCGCACGTCTAAAAATCTGCTTTCACACGTCACAATCTGTAAGCACAGAAAAGGTAAATACATCAGCTTCTATGGAAGACACTGCGGAACAAACTCTCTTCAGTTTCATGGCAATTTCATGTCAGAAGTGAAAACAGAAACAGACTAAACTGACACTTTTCTCACAGACTTTCTGGTAATCTGCAAGAAGAACAAAAAAAGGCTTAAAAAGTTGTAGTTCCTTCTTTGCTCGTCAGGTCTTTCTTCTGGATAAAAACAGTTAAGCTCCATTAGTAGTTAATATAGCTGTTAGCCCTCATGTAGTGTAAGCTGCAGTGGTAAGAGGTTCACACTACCATTAACCCTTTGTGACACAGGGAAAAAGGGAGAAACTGGAGAAAAGAATAAGAATAACTGAAGTGATGCTCAAATATGGGGTTGTGCATGCCTTCTTCATGTGTCTCAGCTCTGTCTCCTCGTCATCAGCAGTCACTTTTGATTCACTGAGTGGAAAATGCTGCTAAAAATAAATTCAAAGTGCTCACACGTAACAGGAAGGTATTTATGTGGTTAATCTTAATCACATCGAGAGTGAATGATAAATGCAGCACTATATCTAGGTGTGTTTATGTAACTTTGTCATTCTTCAGATTAGGCTGACATTTGTCTACTGCCGGAAAAATGGTGGTTTTTACTAGATCCCTGCATCCAGGATGCATTTGCCAGAGAATGAGCTGAACATGAGATCATAAACTCTGTGTTCATCTAATCTAATGCAACTGAGGTCCTGAGTCATAAATAACTGCCGAATGACTTATAATTGCAGAATTTGCAAATAATGTCCTTACTGTTGTTCCACTGAGTTTAATAAAACATGTTTGTAATTTAGTACTAAGCCTTTTCTTGTCTAACTGAATACATTTTTTCTCCATAAATTACATAATTACATTCACAAAACTTCATGGAAATTAAAAAACAAATTCTACATGTCACAATTTTTTAATGACTAAATTACTTTAATGCCCCAAAACCTCGCCTGTTTTTCTGCCTGGGGACTGTCTGAGTTTACTCTGTACTAAAAGCTTTGTTATGTGTCCCTGATCATATGTAACCCGAATGACTTCATTGCCCCAGATGCATTTATAGAGTGTAGACTAGCTCCAACCTTTGAGCCATTTACTAAAAACACTATCATGTGTGACCGGGCTCAATGAGATGCTAACTGTAATGGTACTTATACAGTTTATAGCTTTTGTTTAAGCAAAAGTCGTACTAAGATTAAAATATGAGTTTTTTAAAGAGTAATGTGGCCAATTTTATGTAATATTTCCCTGCTGCAGATCATGCCCAGATTTGTCGCCCACCATGGGGCTTTATCAGTAGGCTTAGTTTATGGGTCACTTCCTTTGAAATTATGTGAGCATGTACAGTAATATGGGCATGTGTGTGTATAATTGTGCTGTCCTCTAATCAATTACCTGAAGTTAGTCTCAAACAAAAGGGCATGTGCTAGATGCTGTAGGTGTGTGTGTGTGCCTGTACAGTGAAGCAAAGGTCAGACGTCAGTGCTGTAGGAGCGCGGCGGGGGAGGAAACGTGTCCAAGGGACTGCAGTAGCTCAGAGGGGAGGAGCTCTGAGGGTGAACCGACAGGGGAAGAGACACAGACGGGTTCTCGTAGTAAGTATGGAAGCCGAGACGCTCCCCTCCGTTACGCATGTCGTCTGTGAGTCCCGAGCGCAGGGTGTACGGTGAACAGCTGGGGCAGTGGTGAGAACCCGAATCCAGCTGATCCAGAGAGACGGGGGTGATGGCAGTGCCGTCCATGGCGAGGGCGTTGCAGGCGTTGCATGGAAAGTGAGAAAGAGGATCCGGTCCTGCCATGGAGGCCACGTCCACCTCAGAATCATTTTTCTTACAGCAGTAATACTGCAGGAGGATGACAAAGAAGGCACCAGGGTGTGAGCAAGAAGAACAAGGGTTTGGATGTCTTCTTAAACATTCTGTGATTCTGATTGCTTTATCACAGCAAAATAAAGTTGTGATATCAAAATCAAAATATGAACAGTGACAAACAAAATGCAGTTTAACGTGGTGGGAATAGTTAAAAGTAGTTTTTTTTTCAGAGGTAGGTGAAAAGACTGACAGTGTACTCAGCCAGCTGTCACTAGGCTTTGGAAGGGCAGTCTGCACTGTGCTTTGTGCAAATGTTGAACCACTGACTGCTCTGGCCACCACATCTGCTTTTATTGTAACCAGATCCAGCTGTGACTTGGTACTAGAGTGCTATGTTACATAAATGAGACAGAATGTGGAAAACCATGTTAAGGTGGCAGACAATTAGACTGGGTTATGGCTCAGTCTCGCTAGATTAAAAATAGGACTGCAACATCCTTGAGTTGCCCGGTGACTGAAGTAAATTTTTGGCAAATTTAGGGAACGATTGGAAGTAGGTCGCCTCCAGGTTGAGCGTTCGACAACCTCAATCTCACAGCAACCACTTTTGCTTGTTTGTTTGATTGTTTCTATTTTAACTATTGCAATCTGACTGAAGCCTAGATTATACTCTGTTGTGGACATGGACAATGTCCTGGACGGTCAGACAGCTGAGTACTCATTCCTGTTACTGCTTTTTGAAGTCTGCCAACTTGGTTGGTTGTCTGGTGATTTAAATTTCTTGTTTTTATACTGTATAATTGTTTGTCTTTACCTTACTGACTGACTGTTGCTTTAAATTGGCACCATGTGAATAAAACTGCATTGAAATGAATTTTATGTACGTCACTGGAACCCGAGTCTTAATTTTTAAACGCACACAGATTGCAATCAGCTAAATCAATATGTGGCAACAAGTGCAACTAGTCTGCAATGGGTCTCTTTGGATAAGGTGACTTCATCCAGCTGGTTACCAACTTGTTTGTTTGGTAACCAGCTCTGCCTTGTGGTTATATTTATTAATAAAAGCAAGTGGCTAGCGTCTATGATATTTTGCTAGTAAATTAAAATCCTGGAGCAGCTACAACACTATCTGTGGAAACCTTTCTGTTTCAAGCTTGAGAAGTTCAGTCTGGACTCTGATTGTAAGTTAATGCGAATTTCCAATTAGTGTGAATTACTGTGCATGTAGATGGCAACAGATTTGCACTAATTTATCACAGTATTATGTCAAACAGATACCAAGTAACTGCCAACTTAACCCTACTTAATTGCAGACTAATAGCGGACTGTGTCAATTTGCTATTTTTTCACTCGCTTTTAAGATGCTAGCTGAGTGGGAGTGGTGCCCATCTTTGAAGCAAGTATTTCAAAGACAATAAGACTGCAAGTTCATTGCACACGGTCACAAACTAGATTAGTTAGTTGAGTTTGTTAAACCAGTAAACATCAGTAATGTAAAAAGAACTTTTGGGTGAACAGCAAACTGCCTAAAAGACCAAGAAACATGAACGTGCACAGTAATACCTGGAGTCTACAGTAACAGAGAACTGCTACAATGCACAGCAGTATCACTCCGGCAAGTATTCCTCCGGTTATGACAATAGTTCCCGCTGACATCCGACCAGCTCTCCATCAAACCCTTCACACAAAATCAACAAAGACAGAAAAGAAGCAAAAAATGCATCAAGAATTACATTTGGATTTCAGTAATGTTAGAATAACTTCTGCAGAATATTTAGCATACTTACGTCCAGCAAAGGTTTCTAATGCCTGAAAAAATAACCAGAGTAAGCTGGATTAGTGTATTTATATGCCATTATTATACAATTGCAACTGATAAAAATGCAATTCCAAAATAAAAGTCCTTCTGGACTTTGTAAAAAAGCAAAGCTGCTTTGCTTCGAGCAAATATGATTCAAACGATTCTGTTTCTGATTGAATCAAATGGCAAACTCTGGTGTATTTGTGCAGAGAACAGGAAACATTTATAAAACTATTTACTCTTTACAAACTGTATTTGCCAGAAGTCTGTCCATACCCCAAACTTACATCGTTATTGGGTTCAAATGGTGAGATTTTTTTTGTCATATTTTTGCTGAGCTGCAGTTGAATATCACCATATTTTTGCAGGGTACTGTGCATAAATAGGATATCACAAATTCTAATTTTGACATTTGCTTTTTAGGGATAAAACAACAGAGTAGTTGTATTTTTAAACATTGGCACATGAAGGGTAGCTGTTTAGCACTGCATGCTGTCTTAATGCTGAGCTCATCCCCTCCCAGCTTCTGCTCAACACTCAGTGAACTAACATGAGAGGAATGCTGAACTGCAATACTGAACTATTTCTTTCATTTGTAACCCATCTGCAGTCTATAGCCTCCGGGCTAATGTTTTTTTTGTTTTTTTAATTTTCAGAGGTTAAGTGCTCAGAGCAAAAATAATCTTTTGAAGGCGCCGTCAGATCTGAATTCCAACAAACCAACCGAACACACACATAAGAAGACAGCGGGAGAATGTAAGGAGGTAGGAAACCATAGCAGGCCTGAGGACTGTTACTCTCAAAATCACCTCTCTTTGGAACCCCTGCAGGTAGAAAAAGAGGCTTCTGTCAGGAGGGAATGTTTAGCATGAGAAACGCTACAGAGCAGCTGTTGTGCTATGCCGCTGATAATTTCTATGATTCTGTAATTATGTAATTTATATTCAACCAAGCAACTGTTTAGCCTATAAATACAGTGTAGTTATATAATGTGTGGCTTTTAAAAATTAAATAACACACGTGGTTGCCTAAAATGTCTAAAAGTAGTTTATAAAATACGCCCCCAGGCCACATTTTAAGCTGCTTGTTAATACAAATCAGCCACTCACGTGGGAGCAGCCCAATGCATTGCAGCTCAAGTCTGAAGAAGTGCTTAGTTGATTTCAGAGCTCAGAGGAGAATGGCCAGACTGCTTCATGTTGATAGGAAGGCAACTTAGAAAAGTACATTTATAACAACAAAGGTATGCAAATGAGTATCTGTGAATGGATAATACATCAAATCCTTGAAGCAGTGTGCGTGGTCTTCTGTTGTAGCAGCAGTAGACCACACCCCCTGCCACTCCTGCTATCTAAAGAACAGGAAACTAAGGCTACAATTCACATTGGCTCACCAAAATTAGCCAATAAAACACTGGAAAATGTTACCTGCTCTGCTGATTTCTGTAAGTAATTAGAATAATAGGTTGAGAACCTGGTATAAACAACATGAAAGCACGACTCTGTCCCACCTTGTATCAACAGTTCCAGCTGCTGCTGGTGATGTAAAAGGCTGGAAGTCTTTGGGGCCCTTAGTGCCAGTCAAGCATTGTTTAAACACCACTCCATACACAAGTGTTGTCCCTGACTATGTCCATCATAGTATGACCACAGTGTACCCATCCTCTGATGGTTGCTTCCAGCAGGATAGCACGCCATGTCACAAAGCTCAAATTATCTCAAACTACTTTCTTGAAAATGACAGTAAGTTCACTGCTCTCCAATGGCCTCCACAGTCACCAGATTTCAGTTCAATAGAGCAACTTTGGGATGGGGTGGAATGGAAGATTGATATCACGATAATAATAATGCTATCACGTCAAAAATAACCAAAGCCTCTGAAGAATGTTTCCAGCATCCAGTTGAATCTATGCCATGAAGAATTAAAGTCAGTTCTGAATGCATAAAGGAGTAAAGCCACATGTACCTAATGAAGTGGCTGGTGGGTTTGTATTACAGCCGCTGTTTCATGACAAAGAATCTGTTCTTTCTATATAACCCATAAATAGGCATACAAAGGAATGAATCACGCTCACTCCAGAATACTTAAAACAACTGGGAGCTGTTTTGAATTGGAAAATAACACTCAATGTGTGGTTGAATTAATCTGCTGAATGCAGCAGCACATTCTCTGCATACTAATAATATGTGTGGCATTTCATACAAGTATGTGCAGCACAGTTTCAGCATAATAATAATACGTTCAAGCGATATGTTGCTTGTCCTTTTTTTTACTGTGACAGCTTCAAAATCACCTCTCACTGCTGCGCTGATAGCTGCCACCATGAAATCTCCTGGATATTATCAGGGCATACTGTCACATGAACCCAATTCCTCTCCCCTTTTCTTTGCTTTGCAGGTAAATAACCTTAAGCAAACAGATCTGATTGACACTGAGACACAAAAGAACTGTGTAAAGAAATAAAAGAAAAGAAAGAAATCAACGCAGATGCACGTATATTTATCTCCAAAGCGCACAGCAAATTTACTGTCTCGCCTCAAAAAAAATCTGCTTCTAAACAAGCCTGTCTGAGAGAAAGCACTAAATTAGCTGCGTGCGAGCGATAAAGAACCCCATGTGTGTGTGTGTGTGTGTATGTCTTAATTTCATTTTACTGGCAGTGACATCAAAATACTAAATAAACAAACAACCACGGCGCAGAATACCCAAATTAATCCGCTCAGAGAGTGACCTCTTATATCAGCTTTTAAATTTCATGATTTTGACATTAATTTAGACAAATTTGCATGGCTGCGTTCGGGCAGAAATATTCATTTTAGGCACTGCCATTATAGTAATTACAACACCAGAAGACTCTATTTATCTACCGTTCAACTTGATTAACTAAAACATCCAGATATTTCTCACTGGAGTAACAGCGTTTAATTATGCCAATTAAATGGATTCAAACAAACAAAAAAACCCAACTTCCCTTTATATTAATGCACGTTTGTGAAAGCTGTGAGCTTTCGAAAGCAGTAATTTGCAGTTAATTTACATTTCATTGACTAATTAATAGATTTAACTGTTCTGGGATTTGATATTTTGACATCTGGTAAATCTCAGCAGGAAGATTAAATAAAAAGAATAGTTCATAATTGGGCGGCTTGGTCAGCTGCCAGCGAGAGGTTTTGCTGCTCTGTCCCTTTATTTGTCCGATGTATCATTAATGAGGTTAATGACCCTGAACAATGAATAAACTTGAATCTCTATTTTATAGAGATAGTACAATCACATAAAGCACTACATCTCTTTCAGTATGTGTGCGGCCTGAAATGAGTATGTGAGCCTCCCTCTCAGAGAGCTCACTTCTGCAGTATCTTCCATTGCGTCATCGTACTAAATTATATACACCATGGACCGCGATAATGTCGTTAAAAGCGATGTGAAGTCTCTTTTGCTCCCCATTTCTCCATCCCCTCCCCGTCTAGCTCACAATCTCACGTCTCCTTACTCCTCTTTGTGCATCTTATCTTTTCTTCATTCTCTTTGTCTCTCATTTACTCTTTGAAGAATATCCTACTTTTTCCAACATGCCATACATCGTTCCGGGCTCAGGCTATCGACTTAAATTTAAGACCTGTGTGCAACTACTGTGGCACATGCATGCAAAATTCATAACCTTCTCTGAAATATATCAACAAAGGCGCAGCAATGGAATCTTTCTAGAAAGAAAAATAAGTCACTTTGACTAACACGCGACCAAATTATGCTAGAGAGGGAGCGCTGAGGTAAAGCCTCAGATTAGAGAGTTTCCAGTAGACTGGAGAGACAAACATGCCAAGTGACAGAGGTTGGAAGACTCAACTTTAATGCTGTCATCTTATCCAACACAATTCATGTATGACTCCCAGTGGGTTCAGAGCTGTCTGATTTAGCTGGGAAGCACACACACACACTCATAATACCACATAAAACCCTTAGATTTAACTGTGGTCTGAAAGAAGGATCTGCTACAATCCTGTCAGTGGCTGACTTGGACAAGTGACACTGAAGAAAGGGGATGAAGCTGTCTCAGAGGAGCCAACAGGCATCTGATTTCCACAACACAGAAGCTACATAAAGTCATTATGTGTACCAGTCCCAGGTGACCTGTACACTCTAGTTATACAGACTGTATCTGTCAAGTCAGCTTCAATCACAGAAAGAAAGGATCCACTTCCTCACTGTACAAAAAGCAGCGCTGAAGGAAATGTAAATCCCTGAGATTTGCAGGGATTTTGAGAGTTGCCAAGAAATGATGTAAAGTATATGTGCAAATGAGAGACAGGGAGGCTCTTAAGCAGTCAGCAACATTGTCACTCTTGACTCAAAACACTGAGCGTCTAGCAGGGTTAGGCAAAAATTCAATTTTGGCTTCAGCTCATTATTATTTTCACTGTCGATTAATTTGTACTGAGAGAAGAGAGCAGGTGGAGGAGAACCTGGGGAGGTGACGATATGCACTGGAGAGAAGAGGACTGAAAGTCGGAAGAAGCATGAAAGATTATGTGTGTGATTGAGAGGGAGACAGGTGGAAGACTGAATCTGCAAGCAGTAGATGTAGAGAAGGTTGATGAGCTTAAATATCTGGGGGTCTGCCATCCAACGAAAAGTGTAATGGAGAGGGGGAGAGAGTGCAAGCACGGTGGAGTGTGTGGAGATGAGTGTCAGGGATGATTTGTGACAGAGGGATAACAGCAAGAGTGAAAGGGAAGGTTTACAAAACAGTACGGAGACATGCTATGAGGTATGGTTTGGAGATGGTGGGACTGACACAAAGTGTAGAAGTGAAGGAGGACACGGAGTAGGTTGGTGTGACAGTGGGGGATGCTAGGGACAGGCAGAGAATTCGCTGTGGCGACCACCTGCTTCTCATCAGCAGTGATGATTCTTGGCTCACAGGTTGGCTGAGTTTTAAAGAGAAGTTTGTGTTTGATTTGAGGTTCATGGTGCTGCCGCAAATAGGCACATACAACAGGTAAAAACAGGACTTCCAATTAATGATCTAAACATAGCAGCAGTGCTGGAAGGGTTCAGAGGTGCACAAGGATGTCCTCGATGGGACAAAATTTAAATCAGGTCATGCTTTTTGCTTTATATTGGACACACTGTTAGATTTCATTTATTATGAATGATCTTAGGCATCAAGAATTTGTCCTTGGTGGTTTTCTGATATTTCTGCCATCTTCTGGGAATTCTCTGACATTTTTGTAGACGATTTGATTAATTGATTACTCAGAAAGAACATAGAAAGATGACTTTATTGAACACCCGAGTCTCAAAAGGTCTGTGTGCATAAATAAAAAAAATCGTTACCAGAAAGAAACTCAGAAAGAAAAATTCAACCACAATACCACAACTTTATTGATCCTTTTGGGAAGTTGTTCTTATATTTTGAGCGAACGCATCTGTATGGAAACAGCCAGCAAGTTGACTCAACTGTCTGAATTTTGGAGTCTGGGTTAATGATACAGCAGATAAATTCAACAATCGCAGGTTGGGAACCTTCCTCATAGAAAATACAAGGCATTGAGTTGCTATAGTCTCTGACTGGCCTCCTCTTCTTCTCTACTTGTGAAAAGCCATTAAAGACCACGAAAACGGGAATTCTTGCATGCAAAGACAATAAATCATCAACTTTAATACAAATACACATGCTAAGAAAAACTAAACCTGTTATACTGCATTACACCATATTTACCCTGATGTTATATTCGTCTCTAGCATATACTTTATTATTAGTATTACTTAAAAATCACATTAGCCTTGCTGTAGCACAGATCAGAAAAGTGACTCTTCTTCTTCTTCTGCTTTTTTCTCCTCTCCCTCCCTTTTTCGTTCACATACAACATGCACATGAAGAGTTCATTAGAAAGATGATTAAACCTTTGTTCAAGCTACCACAAAATCCTCTCATTTCGACCTCCGCAATGTTAGAAACGCTGAGAGAGGTGAAGAGGTTTCACACTCCACTTGCAGAACTATATTTAGCAGTTTTGCCATCTCTTAACACAGTGAAAAGCACGAGATGAGAGGCAGAAGAGAGAGGTGTCATATTTTAATTCGTTTTCTCTGCGGGAAATGAAACGATCCTCGCATACAGCTACATGCAAATGAACACGCACGCACCCACAACCAAAAACACCCCTGATCGAATGCTGAAGAGGTAAAAACACAGCTTCCCTCAGAACTTTCACGTGGGACGATGTGGTGATGATTAGTGTTGTGAAGCTGGGAGGTTCTTCTCCCATGTGATGCCTGAGTGAACTGTGGAAATTAGAGAAGCTATGACAGGAAACTTTAATTAGAAAACTCTCTGCTATACGGTAAAGCAGTGGACGACAGCAGATCATTAGATGAAAAGTGATCCCGTATCTGTTCAGTCAATCTGAAGCTAAAAGGAAAATTAGCTTAGGTTTGCAGCAAAGGCTGGAAATGGGGAGGAAATTTAATTCGTTCAGTTCAATTCAGTCTATTTATATAGTTCCAAATCACAACAGCACCTTACTGTATACATCATTTCAATTGCTTTATGTGGTAAGGTAAAGACCCTGCAATATTAGATAGAAAGCCCAACAATCACAAGCAGTAGGCCACAGTGGGAAGGAAAAACTCCCTTTTAAGAGGAAGAACGAGGTGCAGGGAGGGGCAGAGTGGGCGTGAGCACAAAAGGCAACCTACAGGAGAGAGTGTCATAACCACACTTCTGAAAACGTATGCTAAAACTTGAAGTGCACTTCCCTAGAAATGTTACTAGGGAACTAGTAACAACTATTGTGATCTGTCCACTACTGTCCATTTCTCCTATCCATTTATGGTTGCTTGTTTGAGTGGATTAGTGAAAGATTAATACTTATAGCCTCAATATAAGGACTCACAGATTTAGCAAATTCCTGGAAGGAGACAGCAGAAAATATCATGAGGGAATGTACAAAGAAGGGAAAACCTCACAGCGTTTTATTCGTGTCTGTTGTTACTGGCACTGCATGCACAACACCAAGACATGACCACAATGTAATTAATGCATAATGAACCAGACACATGCATAAATGTTGGCAACAAGCCTAATTTAAAACCACTTTTACTTGTCTAAAGTGTCACAGACTAGGAATGTCACAATACCACCAATACCAGTGCAATTATATGATCCTTTATAACCAGTTTAATACCAAAACTAAATGATTAGGCTATGTACCAAATCATAAACACCTGACGTGTTGCTGGCAGACTGTTAATATTATGTATCATTGAAAGGACAGACTTGAATGTTAGGCTAGTTCATGGGTAGCACTGCCCAAATTAGATGAGTTTAAGTATCAGGGGGTCTTTTTCATGAAAGAATGAATACTATGTCACTCTCTTGCGGTGAACAATGAGGTGAGCCTGAAAGCAAAGAGCTGCAACTATTCAACATCAAAAGGAGCCAGATGTGGTGGTTTGGGCATCTGTCCAGGACATTTCTTTGGTCCCTCCCAAGTGAGGTGCTTCGGGCATGTCTTACTGGAAGGAAGCCCAGGGGCAAACCCAGGACATGATGTAGAGATTATATCTCTCGATTGGATTGGGAACGCCTTGATGTCCTTCCAGATGAGCCGGAGATGCATCCAGCATCAGAAGATGGATGAATGGATGTCTAACTGCTCAAAACTTATATACATATCATTGAAAAACTACTAAAGTTACTACTATGTCAGAAAGGCGGTGTGCAAGATTTTCAATATATGCCTTTTAAGTTCTTATTTAATAGGAACTAAAAGATATGGATAAAGGTTAGCATGTGGTTAATTTTTTATAAATAAAGAGATGAGTTTACAAATGGAGAAAGGAAGAAAGAGAGAAGGAAAGCGGGGAGGGATCAAACGGGGAGAGTAGGGAAGCAGGAGAAGGTGGCAGTGCCTGAGTGGCTGAATGATATACCCACTCTTAAATAATGATATGAATATTTCGTTGAGGTGGCCTTCAACTTTGCGCCGCAAATCACAGCAGGTTCTTGCAATTTTAAAGCCCCGGGGCTTCAATTATTCAGGTATCATTCCTTTAACAATATTTTTCCATCACAGGACAATTTAGCCAGGTAGTAAAATCGGGGACTTTTCTGCCTTGTCTGCCTCTGAAAGCACTCATCTCAGCGTGTGAGGAGAGGAACACATCCACATCTAAGACAGAAACACCCACTATCAGAAGGGTGCAGAAGGGAACAAAGGCAGCCAGAGGGAGGAAGGTGGTGTGTGTGTGTGTGTGTGTGTGTGCTAGATTTCATTATGAAATACTCAGAAAATGAGTCTCAGAAATACACATTTTTCCTTATGACTGACGGCACATGAACTTAATCAGGTCTCCTGTTGCGTTTGATGCGGTTACTGCATGTCCTAATTACCTCGTTGTCAATTATTTTTTGTATTACTTATGACTGAATGCATCTCAGGGGTTCTGGGGATGAATTTCTTTCACAGTATGCCAAAAAAAGGAGGTTATACAGAAATCCAAGTACACTCTTGAGATCCGAATTGAAGATCCACAGCAAGAGCAGAAACACAACTTTCCTTTGCACAGCTTGCCCAGAGGTTCAGAATAGAGATCAGAGGCACAGCACGAACTTGTGGCCAAAGGTTTACAGTGCTGGCTTCCTGTAACAAACAGTGCCAGAGACATAGCTGTACCAAAAGCACCCTTACCTTTAGAAGTCAGCATCTGGGGGAGAGCATTCTCTGCTGTGCTGCAAATCCCCCCTGGAAAACCCCAAAAAAGACCTGACATCAGTTATAACAATGATTTCAAGAGATGCCTCAGGGCCCCAGCAGTGATGTGGTCAGCACTGCGGCTACAGTAAATGAACGAGTTTGTCTCAAAGTGGGGATGGGTCTGTCTGCATTCCCATCAAAAATCCACTCATCCATCAATTTTCACATCATTAATCGCTCACCCAATCAATGACACATTTTGCCCCCTGTCAGTGCTCATATTACCTCATAAGACATATGGAAGTTGTCATAATCGTGGAAATTAAAGCACATTTTCTGGTCATTCACGCCACAATAACCTCTGAGATCTTTTTCATCCTAGTCCAATGCAATCAGACAACTGTACGCAAAATTACTAGAAAGAGCTGTGAGATAGATGTTAAACCCTCTAAAAATAAAAATCGAGTTTACTCACCTTACTGTCCACATCATTTCAAGTAACGTCTAAACTACTACTACAGTAGAGGCGATTTTTCTTTTTTCTTTTTTGGGGGGCGAAATAAAATTGAAAATCCTTACTTTTGCGATATAAACACATCTAATGCTTTAACCGAATTGGCGGCTGGAGGTCAATTTAACAGCTGTTACATCACTGATTAGCCTCGTTTTACTCAATTAAGCAGATAAATTAATGCGCACAGCTGTTAAGTGGCGCGCGGATGACTGTAAATCCAGGATGCCCTACCTTTTCGGACTGAATGTCTCAGCAACCTGTTAGAGAGACGTTTCTTTTCTTTTCTTCCCTTCTTCTTATTTGCACCGCTGTCGGTCCGGTGTTACGCGGCTCCACAGACAATAAAGTCCAGTGATTTCCTCTCCAGCACCGGTCATTAAAGGTGCCCGGAGCCCCCCTGTGCTGGCTCTACAACCGGAATCATCACGTCATTATCCGCCGTTGGTTATCCCCTCTTGACCACGGTTTTACTCACAGCATGGAGCCAGTGAGGGCCTGTGGGAATTCTCATGGCATCCGACCGCTCTGTGAAGCGCTAAAGACGGATGAGACCAGGCGGTAGTCCGGCTGCAGAGTGTCACCGCTCGGCATGGCCGCGTTTTCAGCGAGGTTCTCTGGGGGCGTTTCGGCACCTGCTACCGCCGTGCCCGGTGGGGCGGGGTAGAAAGAACAGTGGGAAGAGTGAGACGGTGTCAGCTGTACCGTGTGATATCATTTTACAGGACGATGGAAGGGGTGGTGATGGTAGTGGTGGGGGGCAGGGGGGGCAGAGGGTCGTCACCAGTATGACATGAAAGCGTAAAACGGGTGCATGATATGCTCGGCTGCAGTGGGAGAGGTACACACGGACTCTGCGGAATCCAAAGGACATCCAAAACATGTCATGCCACTTGTCTCAGTAAGTCGTAAGCTTGAAAGAATCCAGAAAACCAACCCGCCATATCATGTCTACACAGGATTTGAGATATTTTGACAGGAAAATCTCCCCAGTAAAAAAAGAAAAGTTGTGGGGAAAGAAGAGGTTAAAAGGCTGAGTGACACACACACACACACACACACAAATTAAGAATTGAAGCTGCCCCTGGATCTGATTAATGTGCAGCAACTATATAGCAAATATAGAGGTCATACTCAAGGGTGAGCGGTGGCCTCGCTTCAGTGCTCCACTTTTACTTTCCTCTCTGGTTAAGGACTACAAAATGCAACAAGTAGGTTACAGGCTACACAAAACAGCTACTAAAAAATCTCGAGCCACTATTTGTGCTGTCCTTGGTGCTGAAGTCGACTATAAGCAAAACAGAGGGCAGGGTGATACGCAGCTAAAGGACTGTTCCATAAATCTCATCGTCATCCTTTTAAGTCCCTCAAGCAGCTGCAGACAACTCTCTCAAATGACTTGAGCAAACAAGGTCCATCATGACAGTAATATCCACATAGCATGCACTGTGTGCATAAATATTTGGAAAGTGTTCTGCCTTGAGTATTCTAGTCTTACCACCTGCGCAGAGAGATTTAAAAAATCTTTTAAAAGATGTACGATAGGAGGTTAGATCCACAAATATGTTATTCTAAACTATTGGCTCACGCAGTGTTTAACAAAGCAGTGAACACTCTTCTCATCAGTGTTTCATAGAGAGTCATGCTCTCTGAGTGACCTTTTTACAACATGATGTTAGCCTTGTTCCACCAGCACTGCATAATTTGTCGCCCCTAATCTAATTTCATTAAAATCTGTATTTTCTTTATGTTATTTTTGAAATCCTATTAAAGTTTGTATAGCTACTGAAGAGCTTTGGCATGTTTCCATATGAAAAATAAATTTAATTCACACTGAAAAGTCAGAAAATGTAAAAAAATAAATAAATAAATAAAAATAAGTCTTTCATATAGATGTAGCCCTTGAAATAGCTGAATTATTTAGGCATGCTTGGTTAATGTTTTGCTGCAAATATTCAACAGGATTTTACATAAAAGAGAGAGAGAGAATGTTTATAGGTTGAGGCATCATTATTGACCAAGGAATACCTCACGATAGATTTTTGGTCAAAGGTTTTATAAACAGCATTTGGAAGGTTGTGGTTGCTGCTTCAGTGAAATCTGATCACAAACAAATGGAGAGAAAAAAGCGACTCCACAGATGCTTTAATGTTGATAACTGAACACCTAATACTTACGCATGTGTATATTCAGTTTTGGATACAGCGAGCTCGTTGCATTTATTCAACAATACATTTAATCCTGAGGAGTACAATTTGCCTAATAATTGTGTGTGCAGTATAATGAGGAGATTTAGTCTGGCTAAACTTGTCTAAGTATAATCTTGATCCAGAAAATGGCTCTTCAGCATTTCTCTGCTTCCCTGTGTCTCTCTGGGTAAGTTAAGCTAGCTTTGTAGCAGGGGGCTGATGAAGGCAGGCCAGTGGGGAGCGCTGAGATTACTGCTCAAATTGAATAAAGGAGTCGACACATTACAGCAGCTTAGATGATACACCCCACTGCACTGATTAACTCAAAACAAGCTCAGTGTTATACACGGGAAACAGAAACACACATAAACACAAAGCCTACAAGCCATGCGCATAAACCTGGCCAGCCCCCCTCTTTAACACCATTTTTTTCCTGCATTTACCTTCTCTCATTTTCTCTCTGCTACACACACGCGGCTCACAACCGCTCGCCGTGGCCTCTGCCTCATGACTTGAGTTCATTACTGCCTTGGCAGGAGTCCTCCTATGAAATTAGAATGACAACAGGAATGACACAGAGTGTAGCGGTGGAAAGTTTACACAGGGTGAAATCGAAAGAGAGTGTGTGCGTGTGCGCACGTTAAACAAATCTAATCTAATCGTCTCTGATTCATGGGCAAGCTTGTCTGCATGCATTTGCGATACACTTCCTCTTTGCGTATGTACCCAGTCTAGGAGATGGAGACAGAGAGCGGATGAGACAGAATGGCTTCTGACAGGAAAGCACAGCATGAGCACAACTCTCTGGGACAAAGTCGCAAAGCCTTTCTCAGCAGGACCACCAGCTACTGTTGACAGTGCCGGCTGAGTTTATTTGCTGGTAGTACAACTTGTGACACAGTTACATAGCCCAAAGGCTGAATTAGAACTTTCTTAACCAAAGAAGCACTGGGAAGCTGCTGGTCTCCATGGTTAGACACCAAGGAAAGGCTACTTCTCCAGTTCCTCAAAAGCAAAAGACACTAGCAGTGAATGAGCAGATTGGATGCTGCACATATGCCTTGTTTCCGCTGCAAATTTTACCCCAGTTTCATGGTTTGTCTAGAAACAAGTTGTTAGAAATGTCATCCTTTATTTGTGTAGCATTTAAAGATAAAGACAAATACATTTTTACCCAGGTGAGCAGTATTGAATGGCTGTCATTTGTTTGCCTACTTTGTATCACTGAGACTCTAGACTTTGGTCTACATTTGCAGTACTTTATACATTTTCCTGGCCTGAAAAGTGAAGCCGGTGCAGAAGCATAGGGTGACTTCTTTGGTTTTAAATTAGGCCCCCGGATTGGGGAGGAAGGGTATTTAAGGGACTTGGTTGTTAGTGTAAGACAGGCTGGTCGGAATATTTCAGAAACTGCTGATCTACTGGATTTTTTCCAAACAACCATGTCTAGGGTTTAAACAAAAAAACAAAAAACAGTTTATGTCAGGGGTCAGAGAAGAATGGCCAGCCTGCTTTGAGCCAAAATGGAGGCAACAGTAGCTTAAATAATCATTTGTAACAACCATGGTATGCAGAAGAGTGTCTATGAATGCACAACAAGTCTAATCTTAGAGCAGATGAGCTACAGCAATGGTAGACCACTCTGGGTGCTGCTACAGGAAACTGAGGCTACAGTTTCAATGGCTTTAACAAAACTGGACTCTAGAAGCCTGGAAAACATTGGCTTGTCTGATCTGTCTGAAGGTTGTGTCATTGTGACACATTTAGATGGCGGGTGTGTAAAAACACTGGTGGTGTAAACGATGCTAGTGGTGATGTAATGGTGTGTGAGATATTTCTTTGGCATATTTTGGGTCCCTTAGTACCAGCTGAACATCGTTTAAGTCCCACAGCATACCTGAGTATTGCGGCTGACCGCAGTACACCCATCTCCTGTTGGCTGCTCCCAGCTCTTTAACACACCATGTCACAGAGCTCAAATCTGATTTCCTACACATGAAACCGTGTAACCAAATAGCCTCCAGAGTCACCAGATCTCAACACAATACAATAGAGCACATTTGGGAAGTAGTGGAATGGGAGACTCGCATGCTGGATGTGCAGCTGCCATGTCAATATGGACCAAAGGCTGTGAGGAATGTTTCCAGTACCTTAAAAGAATTAAGAAAGCTCTAAAGGTAAAAGAGGGACCAACCCAGTACTAGCAAGGTGTACTCAATGAAGTGCCCAGTGATTATATAACAGCAACCATATGTATGTGTCCAATTTCACTGCAGGTGCAAACTTGCATGTGACAAATAAAGGTTTGTTTGATTGATTAATTTGATTGAACTATTAGTTTGTTATAAAGTACAGAATGTTCAAAATGGAATTATTTTGGCTAATCAGTTTAATATTTACAAAAAAACAAAACAAAAAACAAGACACTTTAAGTGTCTGGACTTCTTTAAGTTGCTTGAAGACGTTTCACCTCTCATCTGAGAAGCTTCTCCAGACCCCCAAAAACACTTTCCTGTAAACCTCAATTGAATTTTGATTTGATTTCTAATTAGGTCATTTTTGCATGCTGGTAGAGCAAATTAAGCTGTGCACATGGTAAAAATTATCCTCAGAACGTTAGCACTGCTCCTGTGAGCAGACTGGCTTTGTAGCGTCTAAGTCAAAGCGCTGTTTGTCTCAGAGGCTACACTGCAGGCTAAGATGTGGTTTTTTTGTTGTTGTATTCGTTTTTCACGACAACTGTGAACAAAACACATCACATGGAATCTGGTCTTTTCTTAGTCCTGATGTGGGCCACTTCTATATGTGGTCCCAAAAGAGATACTTTTTTCCTTCTCCTCAGTCTGAACAGTCAAATAAGAAATCTTTAATGTCATTTGTCTAACCGGAGTGTGCTCTCTATCCAAACCAGAGTCGCTAACATATCTGTAGACACAGAAAACACAATATATAACCAAGAAATTACAATGAACCTTTTCTAAAATAAAAACATATCAAAAACACACCACTTCAAACTTCAGACAAAGCCTGAAAACTTGCCAAGTAAAGAAAAAAAAAAACCTGATGTCCCACAACCCATTTATGTCAAAGAGGAGAATATAGCTACAGTTTAAATTATGCGAGTAAAAGCACAAGCTGATTAACTTTTAATAGACCTGCTCTTATATATAGTACATTACTAGCAGGATAACAAAACAGGAACATTGCATGAACCAGACTCTGAGACAACCTCAGTGAATACGTTAAGCTGAAAGTCTGGTTCCCTTGCACCTACTTTAAATGAGTGCTTACATGCACCACTCTTCCAAAGGCCAAATAGCCTTCACAAGTGTTTTTTTTTTTACACCTAAATAAACTCAAGTGCCTTCAGTGGCCTCTGAGCTCACCAGATTGAGGCATCAATAAACCTTTATGTGAAATCCTG